CCCGCGCCTCGCTCAGCCAGTGAGCGGGAACCGGTCTGTATGTGGGATCCGAACCCTCGGGCAGGAGCGCCGCAGAGCTTCCCAAGCAGCGCACTTATCAGTTTGGTTTTAATGAGTCAAGTTCTATTTAAAGAGTCGATCTAGAGCCGAGCCCGTGGTGCACTCGGGAGAGTGTGGCGCTGAGAGTGCAGCAGCACTCCCGCTGCAGGTTCGGATCCCGTATAGGGATGACCGGTGCACTCACTGGCTGAGTGCGGTGTGGCCGGTCTCAAAAAAAAAAAAAGGACAAAAAAAATAGTCGATCTATTGCTTATTTCCTTTGAAATTTCACTTTTTGCTTTTAAGCTTCGGATCTTTTCTCCCCTTTCAGATATTCAGTAATCACATATATTTGACACTTTTTATGGTTTGATTTTTTATATTTAACTCTAGTTTGTCTGCAATATATTTTAGTGTAGGAAGTAAGGAATCTAAAAAATTTCCTTCAAATGACTAACCAATTGTCCCAGTACTATTTATTGAATGATCCTTCCAGGATGGATCTTAACAGGTGGAGACAGGGATATGTTATTTTGGGCAGATGGAACATATGTCCCCAGATGGCAAGAAGTCCAATTTGGCTGGAGACCAGGGTCTGTGAGGAGTTAGTGGTGAGCCAAGGAATGGGGAGCTAGACTGGGACCTGCTGGGGAGGCGGGGAGCTTAGGCTCGATTTAGAGTCAAGGGGGAGTCACAGGCTGTGTGAACAGGAGTGTGACACCTCCAGCTCTGTGCTTCAAGGAACTGACCCATGGTAGAAAACAGCATGGGTAGACTGGGGATGGGACCCAAGATGGGCCTGCAGTTAGGAGGCAATGACTATGTTGCAGACCAGAGCCAGAGTGGACTGGCTGTGGCTGGTGGCAATGCTGATGGGAGAGGAGGAAGTGTGTGGGGTCTTTGGACCAGGATTTAAAAACCGGACATGGGACCATGAAAGAGTAGTAGAGGGGGATTTTGCT